GTTAATGAGCCAGGTTTAATTTCAAATTAATTAAATTTGCCCCATTTGATTTTGGAAAAATAATTTTGCATAATTGTCAAATCTATTCGTGAAATAATGACACTGATTGCAATTAAATACGTGGAAAATAAGTTAATTACTCAAATAAAATTTGAAGAAATATAATTTTATTCATCAAGATAGCGCGTACAAATAATATTCTCCCTTGATTGTCTCTCTCATAAAATTTATCTACGATTCGAGAGCTATTAGTGACTTATTTCTAGAATTAGGATGATTAAGAATTAACCTCTATATGAATATTCCATGACTTGTGTGGAATATATCGAGACTTCAATCTCTTTATGAAATTTTCGAAATGTCTTCTAATGGAATTTAGTAATCTTTATATAGACATGAAATAGAGTCTAGGATTGAGCTACCTCCAAAGTCCAGATATTCTTATTAAAACTGAACACACCTTTTAAAATTTCAATTCAAATTGAATACATGTTGTAGAGCCCAACAAAATTTCAATTACGAATAGAAAATAGACCTTATTCGTAACGATGATGGCATGAATATTGAGACTTGAGACCTATTATTCACGTTGATATATTGTCTGTGAGTGAAGAAAACGCAAAAGCTCAAGTCAATACACTAACGTTAAGAAAACGGTAACCAAAATACAAATACCCAAAAGAGAAGGGTGATGACATAGAAAGTAGAAAAATAAAAGTGGAATTGTCTTTTTGTTTCTTTTCTCTTTGTTTTCTTCAGAGTGGAAACTGGGGAACAAGAGTTGGGGCTACTTAGCTTTATGTAAAGAGCCTTTTTATTGAAATAATTCTGTGTAGTAGCTGCCTTGACACTAAAAAAGTACACAAATCTCAAGCTAATTGTATGCCTTTTCAGCACTTTTACCTACTCTTTTTTTTTCTCTCTAATCAAAAGTCAGAAGAATAAGTTGTTTTTACACTAAACTTTATTGTTTCAATTTTGTTAAATGTTGAAAATACTTGATATGTGCTCCTTCCTGGTGTGGAAATTACCACACGAGATGAATTAAAAAAAAAGGTTTATTTGACTCGTAAGAACAATTTATAATTATTAATTGAGCTAATTACAGATTAATTTGTAATGATTAGTTAATATAATACATAGGCTCATCTAGTACTCAACATCAACAATATCCTAATGATGGATCAAAGACGGAGCCAAATTAAGAATTTATGATAAATACGTGAAATTATCATTAAAGTTGTAGGTTCAACAAAACAAATGAGGAATTAAGTTTTAGTGTTTATAAGTTCAAACTAGGCGTATCAAACTTTAGTCATTGCATTTGCAATTGAATATAAATATATAAAAATAATATTTTTTTTTGATATAAAAGAGAGTTTAAGTAAAAATAATTGAGTTCATCCATATCCGTATCTAATACTCTATTTTCACTCTTTATGGTAAAACTAAGAAACGTTAACTCAAATTGAAGTATTATATGATACATACATTTCTTATGGGCAAATATGGTTTGCACCACTAGTAAAAGATGAAACTATGAGTTCGATTTGAAAATTAAGATCTATAATTAAGGTATAATTAAAGTAATTAAATAACAATCTTTTAAGTTTATGTACAAAGGGAAAAAGGCCAGGGCATGTGCTAACTGGCCGTGGAGCAAGAGTGCAGGACTTTTGTCCCAACGTAAGGATACCTATTCACGCACTTAGATGCTGCTAACAGCATTACATCAAAAATTAAAGACTCGTTAAATATTTTTAAAATCTTTAATTCGATATTTTAAATTTGAGTTAATTTATTTTTATTTTTTTGCATTAATATAAAATGGAATTATCTTTGTTAAAAATATTATATTTTTCAATATAAGATTTTTAATAACACATATATTTAGTTAAATTTCAATATAAATTAAAGTTAGAGCGTTTATTTTTATTTTTTTGAAGAAAAAAAAACTCACCTTCCCTAAAAGTAAAATGTACTTCCAAGTTCCATCTCGAGTTTGTTGGCGAACTCAGGTTTGAACATTAGTTCAAAATTCTGCAACTAAACTTCATTCTTTCTTAGTTTCATTTTATTTCTTATTAATCCACGAATACGTTCTTCTATTTTGGTCCAGATATTTTAAAAGAAATAATTTTTATTTTTAATTATTTGTTCACTTTTTTTTGTCCCTTATTATTTGTTTATTCTGACAAATTAAGAAAGGACAATTTTTTACATGTCACACCATCAATTATTTATTTTAAAAAAAGGTAAAACTTTTTGAGAAATTTAAATTTTTAATGCATTTATTTTATAATTAAAAGGATAAAATGATAAACACATTATATCAATAATTATCTTTTTTAATAAATATGTTAATTTCAAAGTAGATAAATAATTAGAGATTGAATGAGTATAATCAAAAATAAAAGAATTAGAGAGTAAGATTTGTTTGGATTTCTATGCTTCAAATACAATTTGATGTGTCTTAGGATAGGAGTCGAACTTTTAGATTAGAAATTTTATGTATCAATAATTCTTATTGCAAAATTAGAAATTTTATTTATGATCCCTACAATTTGATTGTACGAATATTTTACATATATTCTTTTTAAGTAATTTGAAATTATGATGAAAATTTTACCATAAATTTATAAAATATTTATAAAGAAATTAAAAACTCAAAATATTTCTCAAATTCATGAATTCAAATTATTTTAACGGCTCTCAGATTATGAAAATCAAGTTCAAATTATTCTAATTAAAAAATATGGCACGATTCTCAAATCTTATAAGAAAAAAATCAAAAGACATATATAGAATATACTCATATTAGTTTACCAATAAAATATTTTTGTTTCTTCGGGTTTTATATATGATTGATTAGTGTTTACCTAGGATTAACATCTCAATTGATATCTTGTTGTCTTGACCCTAAATTTTTTTCTTGAAAATTAATTCGTTCTACCAAATTTTATCTAGATGTTTGGACATATATTTGATTATAATAAAAAACTTATGGATGGAACATAACCAATTAAACATTCCCTCAAAATATTTATAAATCTCCAAAGATCACATTTCTGATCTAACCACTCCATGTCTTCAAAATAAACAATTCAATTTGTGGCAATGCCAATCAGTCACAGCCCATTTACTCAATATCATATATGATCCGAAAAACATTTTTTATTCATTTATGTTATAAAGTCAAGCTCATGGCAATATAAATATAAAGAGATGAAAACAAGAGAAGTAAGATGGAAGAGAAGACTTTCTTCTTATTCAAGTGTATATAAATCTCATATGTATATATTACAATAGTGAATGAACAACCCTATTTATAGAGTGAGAAATCACTCCAAAGGTCACCATATTAAGTATCATAATAAATAGATACATTCTTATCCAAAAAGGTTCATGTAAATATGAATGGTTGTTTATGTACCAACCTTATGGACTATCCACTCATTCAATGAATTTATAACAATTTATTTTTTAAAAAATAATATTTGAATAAAGAAATTGAGTCAAAGTACATAGTACTCCTCCCCTTACCCCTTACTATTTGATTGGATGTAAGATTTTTAAAATATGACTTTCGAGTTTTAAGTATTATTTCAAAAGTCATCAAATTCAAAATAGGTAAATTTTTTATGTAAGGGATTATAAATGTTGTTATATCTTTTGATACAAAAACCAACCAATATTCATCAATAATGGATATATTTACATTATTTTTATATTTATAAAAAAAGATAATACTGAAAAGGCAGAAAAGAATCAAATTTCACAATACAAGAGGGAGACAAACATAGAGATAGTGATAATAATAATAATAAAAGAAAAAGAAGAATGAAAAGGAAAAGGACAGCAGAAGAAGCCAAATCCCTAGACAGCCTTTCCACTCTCCCTTTTTTCTCCAAAAACCCAACGAATCTGTGTGACTAAGGACCCCACCACCCCCTTTCACCTTCTTTCATTTTTTGGGTTAATACGCAGATATAGTCGTTTCGTTCGAAATTATTTGTCATGATTTTTATTTTTAGAGTGAAACTATTTAAATTTTGATTAATATTTTAAGATGTATTTTTTCATAATATGTAAGGAATTATAATTTTTATTTTTCATGTAGTTTTAGAATATCTAATTTTTTTATTTAAAAATTAATGTGATCTAATTTACCTTTGAAAATTAATTAAATTGACTTTCGATAAGCAGAACATGACAAACAATTCCGTACAGAGGAAGTATATGATATTTTTTATTGATATTTAATTATTTTGAATTCACGTAACATAAAATTTCACTGAGAGAAAAAACACTACAAGTCTTTTTATGTTCTCTATTCAAAATTTAAATTTAAAAAGAAACAATCTCATTCATTACACCATATTATTAAGTGAAAACCTTCTTAATTTTGACATAAATTACGAATATGTAGATTTATTAGTGGTCAATATCTTTTTTCTTTTGACGATAAGAGAAATTCGCGATCGCTACCTTTGTTACTGGCAATATCAAGTAATGTACTAATTGAGATATGATCTACTCTAATATCATAATAATCGAATAAATATTGAGTTTAACTCGATCGACCTTTTTGTATTTGCTATTAGATTATTTAGATTTCAAATATGTTTTTAACTTTTATTCAAAATGGACGATGTTAGAGTTATTTAATAAGTAGGTTTAATTATATTTCTCGTAAAATAGTACATTATTTGAAATTTAGAAATATAATACCATTAAACAATCAATTTTTTCTCCAACTTAAATTGAAGTCCCAATTTAATTAAAAGTTTATATCAAATAATAAATTTTAATATTAAAATAATAATATTATTCCTAAAAAAAAATGAATAATTCCAATCCGCTAGGGGAGATAATCAATCAACAACATCAAATATAATACTATTTCATCCTTAATCAGATTCAAATTCGAGCCGAATTAGATCACATATTTGATACTAACCCATGTTTAAATTATGTGATCCATTTATATAAAAAAAACAATGTTGTGAGTTGTTACCACCCACTTCTATTTCTCTTTCACTCCCACTCCCTATTTGCACAGTGACACTCTTTTTGTTCATCTCTTTCATGTAAGAACCCACTCTACTACTTCTTTATTCGCATCTCCTGAAACTCTCCCTTTTTTGGTTTAAAAAGCAAAACACTGAGAAAAAGGGGGGAAAAAAGTAAACAAAAGTTCGCTTCAACTTCCAAATCATTTTGCCTTCGTTTTTCTTTTTTCTACAGAGAAAATGAGAGTCGAGTTGAAAATCAGACTTTTTACGTTACTTTTGACGCTGCTTTGTATGTGTAAAAGTTCGTTTGCTGGGTTACTTGCAGAACCGGCGCAGCCATTGAAGCCGGGTGATTACGGTTCTAACACTGTTCCAGCTTTTCCGGTTCAGACTGAGTCACAGATATGCCGGTTGGATTTGTCCGACGAGTTATTTGGTGGAGTTAGCGCGGCGTGCGGTCAGAACCTGGACCGAAGCCGTTGCTGTCCTGTACTGGCGGCTTGGTTATTCGCGGCTCACGCGCGTTCAGCTTTGCAAGTTTCAGGGTCGGCTGCACCTGCAAGTTCCGATTTGCCGATGATGCCGGATGACTCGCAGAAATGCGTTAATACGCTTCAGAATTCTCTTCAGAGCCGTAATATCCATCTCCCCCAACCTAATGGTACATGTGACGCCGTTTTGTGTTTCTGTGGTATTCGTCTTCATCAGATTACCTCCCTTAGTTGTCCGGCGGCGTTCAATCTCACCGGCTCGAAGAATGCAACTCCGACCGCCGCCGTCAGAAATCTCGAGAAGAATTGCCGGAACTCTTCTTATTCCGGTTGTACTCGGTGTCTCGGTGCTTTACATAAGGTCAGTCACAGTCACGTAAAATCTGCTTCATAAACATACGTCTTCTTCTCCACTCAACCTATAAATTCTGATTTAGATTTTACGTTTTTTTAGCTCAACGGCGACGGTGGAAAAAATCGAACGCACAAATGGGATGTAACCGGCGGGGATAGAGTGAGCAAGATGTTAAGCAGAGACTGTCAGTTGATGGGATTGACATGGTTACTGGCACGCAACAAAACGGCGTACATACCGACGGTTTCTGCTGTATTGCGCGCTATCATGTACAGTGCGCACCCACCGCACGAGTCCAAGTGTAGCCCGGACCAGGAGAACATGCCACTAGCCGTCGATTCACTACAGTTTGATAAAACGGATTCATCTTCACCGTTCGTTGGCGTTTCTGGTTTTGTTATTTTGTTTACTTTTTTGCCCCTAATCATTCTACTGAATTAGAGATGATGAAATCGCTCTGTTATTTTGCTCATGTGATGTGATTTCGGGGGATTCACGTGAAATATTTGCTAGTTGACAAAATCAGAAGAGGGGGGGTGAAAAAGGGGTTATTTTGTCTTTTTGCCTCACTGTAAATTCAGGTTACTATTTGCAAGACAATCTCCTTTTAACATCTTTTTATGTGAATCTCTTGTTTCACTTTTGAAACCATTCATTATTTGGATATTGTTTTATTTAATAATTTAAGACCTTAATAAACTTACAAATTCATATTATTGCTCCGACTAAATTAGATGTCCCACGGGATAAAGATACTTCATAATCTTAGTGATTCGAACCAGAAACCTTTAATTAAAAGTGAATGATATTTAATTATCACAATGACCATCAATGAGGTTTTTGAATATATATAATAACCAAAGAAGCTTAACCAAAAAGAATCATTTTTGTAGTGATATGAATTGAGAAATAAAGAATACAATGTAAGGATTAAGAATTTATTTATCAAAATAAATCGACGCACATAAAACAAAGGAAAACGAAAAGATCAAAAAGTAACATAACTTGGTTATTAAAATGAGGGGAATCTATAATGGAGAAAACGATGAGAATCAAAAAGGTTTGAACAAAACTAGGCGGACTGAGGCATGTTGGTCGTATAGTTATAGTAAATGGTAACATTGAACAAGGCAAAAGTTTATTTTGTTAGATCTAAAAAACAACTCACATGTGGACATATAATACATACACACACAATAGTTCAAATTAAGAAATAGTAGTTGCACATGTTTAAAGGAGAGAATCACGCTTGGATGTTTGTCACAACATATTAACTATTAGCGCAGCACACACCTTTTCTTTCTACTCAAGAGTTTATCTGAAACAATCTCTGTGTTTTTACAAAAATACAATAACTTATACATACATTAGATCTTTCACATACCCTCATAGATATGTTGTTGTTGTTTATTGTATTTCTTAGTATATGCTTAGCAAATAGGGAAAGATATAACTTATGTCATTATCCAACAAAATTATCATTTATCAAACAAATTTAGACCAAATTACCAATTATTTGTCCGGTTTATTCATATTTTTTTTAATTTTCTGAAGCACGGGTATATCTTCCTCTATATATTTGTGTCTAATAACCACGTGTCACAATCATATTTTCGTCTTTCGATTTTAAGGAAAATATGTCTTACAAGGCGAAAAAAACATTTGCGAGTCAAAATTCACAAGAAACATAGATAAAAGTTTTCTAAACCTATGTTGGACAAGGAAAAAGTTCTATAAACATATTTATGTGATACATACTAAACAACTTGTGTTGGACAAAAAAAAAAATTAGATCTAAATGTCTACCTTGCAAGATTAGATCACAGTTAGGGTACTTTGATCCATAAATCTTCATCAAATGAGAAATGACTAAAACTAAAGCGTACTAATTTGAGGGTTAAAAATTAAAGATCACCCCAAAATTATTAAGCACCTGAAAAGGTTTTTCCATAGTTTTTTTCACTTGCATAGTTGGGGTTTGAGAGCCAATAGCCCAATACATTCATTTCAGATATTTCTTCATTAGGCTTTTCAGTTGATTGGGCTATTTCCATATTTGTTGTATTTGAGAAAAGTTACTCAATGTTTTGTGGTTTTTGATATAGAGATATATATAAATTTATGTTATTGTTTCACTTTCAAGAATATAACCATTTTTTTTTTCACATTATATATACAATCTCCAACAAAAACCCATAGAATTAATAATTTAAGGATCTTCCTTTTCTTCTTACCTTCTCTGTCAAAATTTTCAAGCACAAAACGTAAAAAACTAGAATCAATCATTCTTGATGAAGTTTTGAAGCTAAAATTTGGATTTGTAAATTGACTTAGTGTTGTATTAAAATCTTGGAAATTTTTAAGGAACTTATATCTCAAGTTTGGAGTGATTTGTTACAAATTTTGTGAAGACAAAATATAATATCAAGACCGAAGCAGATTAATTCCACGTTTGTTACTTTTGTGTGTGTATCACTGAGCATATTATATGTATGTCAGGTATATAATACATAATTCATTTTACATACGTATGATATATATCAAATATACACTTGAGAGATACATTGATATACCTAAAGCGAAGACAATAACATAACATAATTTCCCCACATTTTCTATGTCACATTACAACCAAAACTACCAATGATCCTCAGTGACAATTCAAAAACTTTTTAAGCACAAAAAAAATGTAGAAGAACAATTTTGAATTCACCGAATGCGAGTTTTTAAGTGATCAATGAACGCCATTTTATGTTAATATATTTATTATGTTGTGGATATTTTTATGTTTGTCACATCTCATAACAAAAGAATTTTTTTTTATATACATATCCTCACAACTAGAGTCTACTTTAATTGATTTAAGAGTTTTAATTTCACCTCCGCTATTTATTCTTCTTTATCCCCTATTTCTTTTCAGTTTCTGAAACATAAAAATCCATCATTAATCCTAGAAATAACTCACTTTAATACATAGCTTAATCTTTATATATCCTCACAAGTCACAACCATCTTCCTCTATGCAATGAGAATCCTCCTTAAGTTTTCTTTTCTTTTTTTCTTCCTTAATAAGTTCCTTGATTATTTTCATTTTCTCCCCCAATATTATAATAATTGCAAGAGATCCCCGGCTATATTAATTGTAAAAGTGATGTTCATGAAGTAAAAAGTGGATTAGCAAATTGATAAATGTTAATAGTAGTATTAAGTATGTATATTATATCGGTATCATTAAGGTTTCGTGTTTAAAAATTACTCATTATTTATTGATACTATAGCGTTAATGATACCATAGAAAACATACATATTCTTATAGTATCATTGCCTAGTGAGTAATTTCTAAACAAGAAATCTTAATGATACCACAACGGCATATACTCTTAGTATCATTAACTAATGAGTAATTAATGAACAAGAAACCTTAATGATACCACAACAATATACATGCATATACTCTTATAGTATCATTGACTAATTAGTAATTTATGAACAAGAAGCCTTAATGATATTACATAAATATACATATACTCTTATAGTATCATTAGCTAATAATTAATTTATGAACAAGAAACCTTAATGATACCACAATAATATTACATATACTCTTATAGTATCATTGACTAATAAGTTAATTTCTAAACAAGAAAATTGTATGATACCCATACAACATATATACATATATACTTATGATTTAATATCAGTTAAGCAAAATTATCAACCTAAATGACACCAATACAATATATGATACTAATCAGTTAAGTAAAATTATCGACCTAAATGACACCAGTACTATGATACTAATAGTATCTCAATGAAGCAAAAATTATGGACCATAATAAATGCAGGTATGGTTTGTAATTTTTTTAAGAGAATGAAAGTTCAGTCTAATATATTTCTTGGTCTAGGCTTTTCAAAGTCTTCGAAATGTAATTGGACTTGATTCAAGGTCTTGTCTTCATTTAATTTTTATACGACCAACCTTAATATAATTAACATCTAGTGGTCTTCTCTTCATTTAATTTTTATATGACCACCCTTAGTATAATTAACATCTAGTGGTCTTGTCTTCATTTAATTTTTTTTTGTTTCACTCTTACCACACAGTTTATCTTGCAATGATTCTAAGCCCTAAGGGTTGTTTTCTTTTCATGCATGTTTGATTATATATGAATTTGTCCGATATTTGCTTTCATGACTGTTAAATCAATCATTTTTCTGAAGTATTTTTTTAGAGATGCAAATTTAATTTTGATAACTAATCACAAGGTGCTTAATATAATAAAGGAATGACAAGATCGATTGTTGAAGAATTAAGTGGACCAATTAGGAAGAAATGTACAAGCTGTTTTTTTCACATACATATGCTTGTGTTGTGTACAACTATTATATGATATTTACATGATCTTAGTGATACTTATTAATTACGTGTAGTATAATGAGGATTACTTCAAAATTGATATAGTTTCGAGAGGACATGATGGAAAATGAAAGGAAATGTGCATGTTTTGTGCTATTAAAGGAGTATATTTTTTTTTGGGGAAAATGCACAAGTATTCCCTTAATCTATGCTCGAAATTTTAAAGACACATTTATATTATACTAAGGTCCTATTACTTTCCTGAACTTATTTTGTAAGTAATTTTCTACCTCTTTTCAGCCTATGTGGCAGCTTGAAAAAAAAATCAACCAACGTTGAGCTCACAAGATAGCGTTACGTAGACCAAAAAGGGGTAAAAATTATTAATAAAATAAGTTCAAGGCATAATAGGACCTTAGTATAATATAAACATGTCTCTGAAATTTCGGGCATTGATTGAGGGGATACTTGTGCATTATCCCTTTTATTCTACATCTTGTAAACAGAAGACAACCTTGTAATATTATGGAATGAGCTATAAAATCAATTCTACACTTAAATTCTTAATCTGATCATTCCCAAGTTTCTCTTATATTCATTATTAACAATCCTCTTAAAATCTTTTACTTATGTTTTCTTTTCCAATTTCACTTAAATTAGGATAAGGGTTAAAAAATTTCTTTAAATTATATGAAATGAAATAAAAAAAAGGTCATTCGTTTATAGTTTGATCTAATATGCCTTTACCGCCAATAGTTTAGTTAAAAAATGTCTATTTTAAAGATTTTTTGGCCTTTTCCCCTTGATTTATTCATATTCTTTTACTTTAAATCTTTAATGGATAGTGATTACTCTTACAAAGAGAGACGTAGAGGTTTCATTTTATACCATTAATATGAAACTAAGGACCAAAAGAATATCTATGGAATTGGTCAAGTTAGGAAAAGAGAAAAGTTGCCTAGCTCGATCAATTATTTTATTAAAAATAACATCTCATTTTTTGCATACTCAATTATTTTAGAGATATTCTTTTAAGATTATTTGAGAGGTATATATTTTTTAGATATTATATGATATGATTGAATTCTTTATCGAAAGAACAAGAGTAAACAAAGCATTTTTCATTTTCAATTCTAGGGTTAATAAAAAATAGGTTTTTGATAATATTGTTATGAAACTATATAGAACAATATAAATCAATAAAAAGAAAGTAATAGGAAGAAGAGAGAAGATTTTTATTTCTCCGAATAATATCATAATTTGAGGTATACTCATACAAATACATTACAAG